CCCGGGCAGACAGGGCTGCTGCTGGCGGTGGCCACCCTAGACCAGAGCTTTGCATTGAGCCTGTTGCTGCAGCCCACTGTGAGTCTCAAGGGGGCTCAGTGCAGGGGTCCTCTGACTGGAGGGGTGAGGGGCTGGGGGTCTGCTCATGGGAGGAGGGGGTGTGGCAACAGGGGGTCTGCTCATTGGGTGTCCACGGTGCTGGGAGGCCACTTGCTGGGGAGCCCTGGTGCCAGGGGGCTGCTTGCCAGGGGGCTGCAGTGCCAGGGGTCCACTCATCAGGTGTGCACAGTGCCAGGAATCTGATGACCACGGGGGCACATTGCCCAGGGGCCTGCTAGACAGAGCGCTGCCAGCAAGGCCAGCTTTGGGGGTTCTAGGACCCCTTTTCTCCCCCCAGACACTGTGCCTTGCTCTCCTGCAGGCTGTGCTCGCACGCCTGGGGAATGCGACCGAACTGCAGCTGCCACTGCCCAAGGGACCCTGCCTGGATGCCCCACTGCACCTGCGGGTCTCCCCCACCCACCTGGCACTACGGCTGGGTGCCCACGGAGACTCCGTGACCAGCCAGCCCCCTGACTTCCAGAGGCTGCGGGGAGCCTGGCTGGGCCAGGGGGGGCGGCTTTTCATTGGGGGGCTGCCAGGTATGTTTCCCCCTGCCAAACAGTAGCATCCCTCCCATCCATGTCTGGGTACCACTGGACATACCCCCGTTCCCACCCCAGCTGGGCCAGTTTTGTCATGAGACCCTTCCCCACCCCCCCTGTGAGCCCTAGAAGGGAAGTTGTTGTGGGGGTGGATGGAGTGGGGGCCCCTCTCTCCCCACTCTCTGACCCCTTTCCCCTATATTCCCTTGCAGAGGAGGGTGAGACCCCCATGCCCAAGGAGTGGGGGTCCTTCCGGGGCTGCTTACGGGGCATCCAGGTGCAAGGCCATCTGCTGGATCTGGATTCGGCCCTGTTCAGAAGCGACACCATCTGGGCCCACAGCTGCCCTGGGGACCATGAGGTGGAGGGAGTGGGGCACAGCACCCATTAAAGGGTCCTCCAGACAACATCGCCTCCCTCGTTACTTGGGCAATGGACAATGTGGAATGGGGAGAGGAAGGAACAGGCATGGGTTGTGATGGCGGGGGGTTGTGACCCAGAGTGGCTGTGATGGTGTGTGGAGCTGTGACAATGTGGGGAGGGACGACTGTGTCTGGGTGCAAGTGTGCAGCTATGAGTAGGAAGGGCTGTGACAGGTTGGATGGCTGTGAGGCGCTATTGCTATGATAGGGCACAGTTGTGATAGCATGGGCCTGCTATTGTGACACTACAGGGGCTGTGTCTGGGAGTGGTTGTCCGTGACAGTATCAGGCTGTGACTAGAAACAGCTGTGATGGAGTCAGACTGTGACCATGTGGGACTATGCCTGGGAATAGTTGTGTGTCTGGGATAGTGTCAGGCAGGGCTAGGCCTAGGAGAGGTTATGTGTCTGGGACAGTGTCAGTCAAGACTAGGAGTAGCTGTGACAGTGCAGGGCTGGGCTTAGGTATGGTTGTGATGACATGGGACTGTGCTGGTGCTGGGGGTCATGCTGTGACTAGGAGGTTTGGTGCTGCTGTGAGGATGGCCAACTGACACTGGGGAGTAGCTAGACAGTTGTGACAATGTAGAACTGTGGTTTTGAACACTTGTGCAGCTGCGACAATGTTGAGTCACGTCTGGGAGCTGTTGTGATGGTCTCTGCTTGTCTGTGTGGCTGTCAGCAATGGTGTGGCTATGAGTAGCTGAGATCAGGTGCAATTGTCTAGTTGTGATGGTGATTGTGAAAGGCTTCCTCTTCAAGTGAGATTATTTTGTAGCCCTGTGACTGATTTTGCAGCACATTGCTTGTGTGATTGTACTCATGTAGCATTGTGGTGTGTTTGTGGCTGTGCTTGAGTAAGACTGTGTCTATGGTGTTTGTTTCCAGGTGTCTGTGTCTTACACAGTGATTGCGCAACAGTGACTGTATGACTGTGTGTGTTACATGTGTGACTTAACCTAGGTGGTTGGATGACTGTCACTGTTCGCACAAGACTGACTGTATATACACAATGGCAGTTCTGCAACCAGTGCTTTGTGTGTCAGTCTGTAAAGGGCTGAGTGACTGAATGTCAGCCTGCTTGTTGGCATATGCATGCTTCCAAGGGTCTGATTTTTGTCATGCTCCTTCTGTTTTGTTGAGGTGACTGTGATTGCAAGTGATGGTCTCATATTGTGTTTATGTGCACACACTTCAGCTCCATAAACAGCCTGCAAAGACTCACTCTCTGTATACAACTGAGACTGTGTAACTGTGAATGATTGTAGTGTGTGTGCATGTGTGTAATCCAAAGACTTAATGACTGTGTGTAGTGGTGGATAGAGTTTATCAATTTTCAGGCCAGAAAGGACCTAATTTTCACCTCTTGTCCAGCATAGGCTGAAGTATTACACCCAGATGGCCTGTACAACTTGGATTCAGCTGAAGCATCTTTCAGACAGGCCTGGGGGCTGTCCTGACATTTATCTGCCTTCGCTTAATTCTTTGCCAATTGAAGTAGTTTGTGTGTGTGGCTAAAAGATGGTACAAGTGTGAGTATGTGTGACTGAGTGGTGTGTGTGTGTATTTGAGGCTGTGTAATAGTGGGCAACTACAGTTTCTTAATTATAGACACCTAGGGTGTGTCTAAACTACAGGGTTTTGTTGACAAATGCGGACTTTTGACGACAAAACTATACCTGCGTCTACACTACCGCCGAGTTCTGTCAACATTATGTCGACAGAACTCGGCAGTTTTGTTGACGGCAGTAAACCTCATTCTATGAGGAATAACGCCTTTTGTTGACAGAGTTCTGTCGACAGAAGACGTTATTGCAGCTACACTGTCCTTTGCATCTACACTCTCATGTCGACAAAGTGGTTTGCTTTGTTGACGGAACTGGATGTAGTCTAGATACTCTTTGTCAACAGAAGCTTTGTCGACAGTACAGGCAGTCCCCGGGTTACATGGATCCGACTTACATCAGATCCCTACTTACAAACGGGGTGAGGCAACCCCGCACTAGCTGCTTCCCCCCAGCAGACCAGGGAGATGCGAAGCTAGCGCCCCCCCACCAGCAGACCAGGGAGACGCAGAGCGGCTTTTCTCAGCAGACACCTCAGCTTGAGAATCAAGGACTGAGGGAAGTGAGGTGTGGGAGAATAAAACTGAGCTCTGGAGAAATGTTTGGCTAGAGTTTCCCCTACAATATGTACCAGTTCCGA